GGAAAAAGCACAGGACTTGAAGTTAGACCCACGGTGTGAACTGCGTTCTTACCTTCTTTGTTAATTTGACTAAGTAGTTTTAGTTCACGAATCTCAACTGTACCATCTCTAAAATAATTCTATTTATTTAGTTAGGGGGTGCTGGGAATCAAACTCAAGACCTGTTTGTCGGGCAAGTGCTGCACTGCTGAGCTATATCCCCAGCCTCTCCAAAATGATTTTTAATGGCATCCATCCAAACTCTGAGATGTGACTATCTTTCTCTCTGATAGTGAGGCTTGTACCAATGGGGGGGGGGGGGACTATCCGTATACACATATGCATTTGGTGTGCCTGCGTGTGCTTATCCAGGGCCTTCACGCTAAGCAACAACTTTACCCATTTTGAGATGGTTTTGCCAAATCATTAATTGCCCAGGCTGTATCTGAACTTCTGATCTTTCTGCCTCAGCCTCCTGGAGTGCTGAAATTACAGATGTGGTCCACATCTAGCTCACTATTTTATTTTTGGTACTGGGAATCGAACTTAGGACCTTGTGCTTGCCAGCTAGGTGCTGTGTTGCTGAGCTGTATCTCCAGCCCAATTGACTGTATTTCTTTTACAAATTTATTTATTTATTTTATTTGTTTATTTATTTATTTTGTGTGTGGCCAGCTCAGCCCACCAGGGGGCGGGGCGGGCTGGCACGTGGTGCTGGGGGATTGAACCGAGGTCCCTGTGCTTTGCTTAGCTTAGCTTGTTGTAAGTAGGTGCTTTAGACCACTGAGCCATCTCACCAGCCCCCAATTGACTGTATTTCTAAGGAAAACCTTGAAAGCAATTTTTTCAGAGATTTTTTTCATTTTTAACGTATTTGGTACAGGGTTTCACTATGTAGCCTGGACTTACAGTAATCCTCCTGTTTTCAGCCCCCCTAGTGCTGGGACTGCAGACGTGCGACACCACACCCAACTCAGCTCGCCTGGGGGCAGGGCCGGCACTGCATGCAGTACTGGGGATTGAACTCTAGCCCCTGTGCTTGCCCAGTCAGGCACTTAGCCCGCTGAACTACCTCACTAGCCCTTTTCACAGATTTTTTTTAAAAAGTATTCAAGTTTTACAGTCAAGATTTTAACCTGATCATAAATACTTATATCTCTCTCAAGACCCTCTGTTTACGTAAAGGAATAAAAAATAAGCCTTTACAGAGAAAAATGAAAATGACAAAGATGAAGTTTAAATAAATTCTTATGAGGAATTTACTTTCACCTAGGAGGCAAAAGAAATGGACAGAATTAATAAAACTCAGGTTTGGCCCTGGGTTGAAGCCTTTCTTGCAGTTAACCCCTTGAGACCCCTTGGCGCCCCACCATTTAAGCTAGGTATCTGTGTCTTTAATGCACTATGGGTTGCACTGGAATTGGTAGATTGGAATTAACTCTCTAGAAGTCCAGTAATTTTCCCGAGATTGTAAGTATAAAATTCACCAAACCACGGAGAGGTCTGGGAAATATTTTTAATAGTAGGAAAGTACTCTACCACTGAGCTACACACTCACCTCAGAAATAGTTTTGTTTAGCAGACTGAATCAATTATTTAAAAGATTCTATTGCTTGCTACCTGAAGCAATGACTGACATTCTTCTTCTTTTTTTTTTTTTAAATTGAACTCAGGCCCTTGTGCTTGCCAGGGAAGCGCTTATTCCACTGAGCCATCTCCCTGGCCCTAATGACTGATACTCTGCAGAAAAATGAGAATGAGGCATTAATCTTAACCAGCACAGCTAAATCATATACACTTTTCACAAACTGTCTCTAAGTATCAGCACTAGGATAATGTGGTATTTATTTACACTAAGAGCACCCACAGAATAATTTCTCGACTCACATTAAGAGAGCCACACTAAGCCCTGAAAAGGGTGTGCCACCTCTAGCTAATCTTAAGAGCCCAGAATGTATTCTGGGAACAGGACATGATAACCATGAAAAGCCTGTCATCCTTAACTATAAGCACCACTTCTTGGCATGGCTCTGGTGCCTGGTCTTAAAAATACAAAAAGGCAGAAAACATATGACACATCCCTGGGAAGTAAGGTGCTTACCAACTAGTTGTGAAAGCAAGACACATGGATAAATGGCTGGACAGGAAAATGCAGATAGAAATGAGTGATGGGAAAGCCCTTAGAGTTCAGTAAAGGGAAAGATTACTATTAGCTATAGTCGACCTGAAATACAAGTGGGACACATAAAACCTGGGAATTTCAAGTCAGAAATAGTACAAACTTCTGATGCTTGGTACACGCTCCATCTTGCCCACAAGTGTATCTTCAGCTTCTACTACGGTGCCTACCATAAAACAGGACTCAGTAATACTGAACGGGTGACCCAATATGCACACAAGTGTGTTGAGATATACTCTCCAATGAGTGTGAGGGCAGTGACAGAAGCAAAGCTGTGTAAGAGGACAACAAACAGGCTGGTCAGTGCACGCTACAGTAACATTTTATTCAGCAGGCCAGAGGAAGTCACTGTAGTTTTGAACAGAAAGAGGATACATACACATGATCCGCAAATGGCGCTGGTGGCACAGTGGTTAGCACGGCTGCCTCCCTGGGTCCTCAAAAGACTTTGCTGAGAGGTACATTTTTGATTCAGAAAATCTAAACAGAGCCTGGTCATTCTCACACTCTCCTAGGCGGTCATGTTGCTGATATGTGAACACTAACATTTGAGAGGTCTTGTTCCAACAAACATTCTATGTAACATTCCTCTGCAAACGAATGGGGATGAAGACAGGTAAAAATAACCCCCAGAAAAGAATCACCAGCTGGGAAACGATTATAGTAGACAACATCTGTGCTGATAGGAGCCTGTGGCACTGGCACATTAAGAAACAGATGCATGAGGGAGAACAAAGAAGAAAATAAGTACCGTATAAAGCAGTGAATAAGGACACCAGAAGTCACCTGGCCCATTCTCTACTCTTTGGAGAATAGCTGCCACAAACTCATGGGTACACATTTTTTTTAATCTCTACTTCAAAACTTAGATGCACTAACCTTAACCTTATCAGGGAGCCCATTCTACCTGCGGACAACTAACTAATGATTGCAATTTTTTGTGTGTCTTAGTGATCAGAAAAAGAATTGTGTTATCAATGACAGAAAGAGAAAGCAAAGAAATCAGGTGGCTTTGGTAGAAATATGAGCACAAGTATTTAAAACACAGACTTTAGGAGATGTATATTTCAGAAGGAAATAATACTCAGCAAGGTTACCATGTGGCCTTGGGTTTCTTCAGCTAGAGCTTCTAAGAGTGACTGATCTCGCTTCAACTCATTTAACTCTTACACCAACACATACTTAAATGCCAGAGCAATTCTTCCACCAGTACAGTGATTCTACATAGGGAATGAGTCTTACTCATTGTTGCATCCTCAAGGGCCCCTGTGCCCCAAAGATATTTAATTATAGAGCAGGTTCCAAAAAGTACTATCCTCTTCCTCCTTTTGTTTTTTTAGACAAGGTCCCACCAAGTAGTTCAGGCTGGCCTTGAATTCACTATGTAGCCCAAGATGGCCTCAGATGTGTGGTAATGCCTCTCAACATCCCAAATGTTGGGATTACAACATGTGCCACCATGTCCAGCATCATCTTCCATTGTACAGCTCAAGAAAGTAAAGTTTGGGGAATTTATACGCTCCAAGTCACACAAAGAGGTGGTAAAGACTATTACTGTCTCAAGCCTTTTTTTTTTTTTTTTTTCACGTATCTGGTACAGGGTCTCACTAAGCAGCTTGGACTCACAGTGCTCCTCCTTTTTTCAGCCTCTCCAGTGCTGGGATTACAGGCGTGGGCCACCACTCCTGGATTTGGGGCAAGCTCAGTGCGCGCCGGGGCGGGGCCAGCGCTGCATGTCATGCTGGTCATCAAGCCCCGGTAAAGACTATTAAATCTTTGCCAAAGCCGGATTTCGAGAATGATTTACAGTATGTTCTAGGATAACAACAGAGAAGCCTAGAGTACATCTGGGTGTGCAAAAGATAGAGACGGTCAAGACATCACTTGATTAACAATGTGGCTGACCATGTGTCAAAAGGTACAGAAAGAACTTAGTTGGCTTCCATTTTTTCCTTTCTATTCTTGTCACTTACTCTCTAACTTCCTGTAGGTCTGGAGTCACAACTAGAAACACTAAATTTGAGCCAAAAGGCCCGGCTTCGGTGTGGGGAACAGCTATGGCCAGCTCAGCATTGCAACTAATCGACAGGATCTTGGCCTGAGGCAGCTAATATCAAATTTAATTCTGCCATCAATTCTTGGGGCCCAGAAGAGTTTTGGGCGAGGTGTGGTGGAGCACAACCATAACGTCAGCATCGGAGTTCCAGGCCAGGTTGTACTACACAGCGGGTTAAATACCGGCCTATAAGATAACCTGTCTCAAAAAAAAAAAAAAAAAAAAAAAAAAAGCAAATAAAAAAACTTGAGTGTCTCGAGAGAGTATGAATCATCACCCCATGAAGAACCATCTATGTACTGGAACGTGGTTCAGTTTCAACAGACAGAACAATAAGAAAAGGACCAACTCCACTGGCTTACTTGAGGGGCTGGGGGTCAAGATAAAGAATGTATGAATCTCAGAAGTTAGCTCTCCATTTCCTGATATCAACAACGTAACCACTTCTCACGCTGACTTTCCCGCGGGCCTTTGACAATTCAAAAGCTCCGTCCGGGCGCACTGAGCGTCTCCCGATCCGCTGCCGCAGGGGAGGGTCCGCGCCGTCCCCCCGCCGCCCCCCGCCGCCCGCGGGCCTCGCCTCCGCTGGGGGAGGGGCAGGGAGGAAGGCGGGAGCTCGCTCCGGCATCGCCCCAGCCTGCCGCCCACCCAGGTGCGGGTGGAAGGGGCCAGGAGGGCGAGGGCGAACGGGGAGGGCGGCTCTGACGAAGGCCCGCCACCAGGATGGGCTCGGCGCCGGCGCCAGAGGGACTCCGGGGAGCTCACCAGGCGGCCCGCCCCGGGTACCTGGTCCTGGCGTTAGCTCGCTGCTCCGACCGGGTCTCGGCTCCGCCTCCTCAGTTTCGCGGCCGCGCTGCCGTCCGGCGGGTCGCTTGGCGTAGGCACGCAACGTGCCCTGCGCGACCTGAACGTAACGGGGAGGGGCCGAGCGGGGCCCCGCCCCCAGATCGGAAGAAGCCCCGCCTCCGCCCCGGGTCGGGGGTAGACCTCTCGCGTCGCGCTGCTTCCGGAGTCTCTTTTCGCTTGCCCTTTCCCTGTGCAGCTCCTGCGTGGGGGCGCAGTCTCTTGGGGAAAATCAGTTTTCACAAAAGCTAACATCTGGCTTGTTACTAATTCATGACCCCGCTGGATCCTAAAAGGGCTCCTCCGAGCCTCCGCCACGTAGCAGCAAGGAAAGTCGGGTAATTTTACTATTGAAGGATAAAGGCGACTGCGGAAAGCAAGCTGACCAGCTCTGGCTGCTAACTTGGCTACTTTAGGGGGAACTCTTTTTTTCCCCGTCATTTATTGTGGCGGGGCTTAAATGGAAAAATGTTTGCACTTTCTTTAGTCATCTCACATTGTCACATGCCTCACTTTGGCCTCTTGCACCATGCAAAAATTGAAAAACCCTTTTCATGTACACAAGGTTCTTTATCTGTAAAAGTGAACATAACACTTGAACTAGTGAGATGTATCATTTCTCTCCTTTCTGGTCGTTTTGTTCCTGAACTCTTACTGACGACTCAGAACCTACAAGGTTTGCCTCGATGGAGAAGCTTGCCCAGACCACAGCCGGCATGGGTCAAGAAATGGAGCAGTCCTAAAACGGAGCAAAATTCCCTTTTGTGAGACTAGAGTTGGGCAATTCGTTTTATTGTCTCACCTGCCCCACACTGGGGCCTGAACCCAAGGGCCTCAGCACTGAGCTACATCCTCAGCTGTGTTTGGTTTGTACGGTTTGGGGTTTGTTTTTAAACAGGGCTCACTAACTCCCTTATTCAGGTGGGGTCTAACTACTCCCACCTAATCCTCCCAGAGTTCTGTGATTATGGGTAAAAGCCATGGCACCCAACTGAGATTAGATTTTTTTTTTTTTTTTTTTTTTTTTTTTTGCGGAACCAGGGATTGAATTCAGGCCCTTGGCGCTTGCCAGGGAAGCGCTTATGCCACTGAGCCGTGTCCCCCGCCCCTGAGGTTAGATTTTTTTTTTTTTTTTAGTTAATCTGTTCACTGTGGGGTGAAGGGTATCCCAAAATGGATATATACCATCAGGTAATGAGTTATTTTATCCAAGCTCTGATCCTTGACACAAATTGACTTCCAAAATGGGGAAGAAGTGCAGCTGTATCAAACAGGGACAGATGAAAACATGACACTGAAATTGGAAACTGCCATACTTGTGTCTCATTTGATTTGCATACACCCCCTTGATACTATATTTAACATTTTAACTTTCCAAAATACTATCCTCACATTGTCTCATTTTCGAAATTACGTGCCTCTTCCAGCAGCACCCTTGGTAAATCACAAAGACAACAGAAAAAGAGGTAAAAAAATTCCTTGGAGCTCGCATGTGACCTTCAGAATTAGAAGTACAGTATTAGAGAAGACAGTGCTTGAAATGTCAGACTTCTTGGAGCTTTTACAATGGGGAATACTTTCCAGCTGTTTAAATGCCTAGTGGCCCTAATACATTTTTTCCTTTCATTTGTAGTACGTGGATGGAACTCTGGGCCTTGCCATGTTAGGCGAGTACTCAGTAACATCACCAGCACTTTAATTTTTTTTTTTTAAAGACAGGCTCTTACTCAATTCCCCAGGCTGGCTTGCCTCGAGCTTGCAGTCCTGCCCACTCTCCCGAGTATCTGGGATCAGGTTTGTACTAGCACACCCAGCTGGCTATGTCGTGTTCTAACGAGATGCTACATTTCTCAATCAGTAAAGGAGACTGCAAGATTTTACCAGGGCCGGGAAGATAGCTCAGTAGAATAAGTGAGATCCTGAGTTCAATCCCAACCGCAAACAAAACAAAACATACACACAAAGCAAATAAACAGATACAAAGTTGAATTTGGGGACCTGCCCATTAGCTCAGTTAAGTGCCTGCTTAAGCAAAGCTGTCAGGCTCAGAATTCTGATTCGATCCCCAGATCCTCATGCCTTACCAGACCTGCCCTAAGGCACCCTGAGGGGACCAAAAATAAAGATTTTGCCAAGTGGATGACTATTCAAAGGGCTAAGAAAATTCTTCAGCTGTCTTAGTTACTCTTTTCTCCTTGCTGGGACAAATACCAAACACTCAAAATGTAGGAAGGAAAGGCTTATTTATTTAGCTCACAGTTCCTGAAGGTTTCAGTCCATACTCAGCTGGCTCCAGGGCAGCCTGGCACATGGCAGAGAGCAATCTTTCAAGGTGGTGGCAAAAAGCAAGAACCAAAAAGAGGAGTAACAGCAGCTCAAGCAGCTAACTTCTCTTTCCTCCTCACATTAAAATGCAAATTACCTGTCCCAGGGCAGGTGCAGCATCCACACCCACAGTGATCAATCACAAACTCCAGCAGCTGCCCTAAGACTGCAGGAGGCTTTGGGGGGACACCTATACAGAAACCATAACAGTCATGTTCTAACAAAATGCTGAATTTCTCAATCAGTAAAGGAGACTGAAAGATTTTACCAAGTAGATGACCTTTCAAAGGGCTGAGAAAATCCTTCAGCCTACACTGACATTGTTGCAAGCAGCCAAGTTAGACAGAAATACTATAGGCAGTCAGACAGGGCCAGGCCCTCAAGGAGACAAGCTGGAAGACAAGGTGTGTTTACAACTGGGAAGAGACAGACACTCCTGTATAGGCTACACCTGAAGACCAAGACAATAAGAGGAAACCCAGCTACATAATTCCCTAGGGATGGGCATTAGAGATTGATACCCTAAATAGGTATCAATCAACTTGAAAGAGCCCAAATGAGTCACTAGCCCAAGAGACCCTGTTCCCTATTTGGGCCCGCTTGCTACTCACTTCCCCATGTGATACTGGACTTCATCAATTTTACCTGAGCAGTGGTGTTTGTCATCTCACTGGCTGACCAGAGCTTTGTCCCACCTCATGCCCACCTAAGCGAGTTCCCATGTCTTCTCCACCACCTTAAGCCCGCCTCACCACATGGTTTTCCTCTATATAAAAGTTTTGGGATGAGACAACTTCCCGGGTAACTACCCACTCCGGCCCCCCTCCTGTCCCTCTTTTGGACAGGAGAGTTCTTTCTCTCAATAAATATATTCTGCTCATAACCTCTGTTGGTTCCTAAAATTCATTCTTCGGTTTTAGAGAACACGAGCTCCTCCAGGTCAGGTCAGGAAATCATTTTTCTCTGTATCATTTGGAGGTCAACATGACAGTTTCAAATTAGTGCAAATTTACATTAGCTTTAGTTTTCCATACAGTACCTCTCATATACCAACTCATGTAACTTAGAACAGCGTAAGGTCAGCTTTCAGATTTATACAGTATTTTTTTCCTGCCTTGCTTTCAATTTATTATCTGCCTAGGATGCACAAGCTCCGTAATGTTTTTTAGTGACTTATTCTTCATGATCTCTAGAGCTTTCTAAAACTGGCTAGAGGAACAGTGATAGATGGTGGACTAAAGATCATTATTTATTTATTTATTTATTTATTTGTGTGTGGCCAGCTCAGCCCACCAGGGGGCGGGGCTGGCTGGCATGTGGTGCTGGGGGATTGAACCGTG